AACTTAAATCTAATTTGCCTGTGTCAACTTTAAAATCTCAGCCTGAGGCTGCTTAGGTTTTCTTAATGAACTAACTTTCAACCAGATTTGCTTTTAAATAAGTTTTTTTTTCATGCTATGTTACACAAATATTTCAGCATATAGTGTTATATGTAACCTTTACAGATGTTTCACTGGTTATCATATTCTTGTAATTCAGGTTTTTTGTGATTTTGAATATCTTTTTCATGCCTGCAACAGAAGTTTTTGCAGCCTGTGTTCCCGACTCACAACATTTAACTCATTATGAAACAAACAAAAATGTATCATTTTATCAGTTCTTCACATCCTATCTAATTTTGAATAGTTTGGGAGGCCGAATAGCAATAAAGACTGCCTTAATTTTTATGGTAGGAAGATTGTTTTTTTATTTTATTTTTCCAACGTGGTGCCTTTTATCAACAAGAAAGCCATCGCCCTCCTTTAAGCACTCTCTGAAAGCTTTCTCAAACTCTTTGGTTTATGACTCACGATCAAGCAGCTCTCAACACAAATCTCCATGTGACAATAAACAGGATCTGCTCTTGATGTGGTGGAAAACATCTGCAGATTCTTCCAGCATGCTTCTGTGTGCAAATAAAATGGTGCATTTATAAAGATAAATCTCAGAAAATTCTAACAAACATGAGTTTAGGTGTTCTGTCTAAAAAGCTGATCCAGATTCTGATCATGTTGAACTATTTAATTCCTGCAGGAATTCTATTTAAAGTTTAAAGGTTGCTTCATCATTCAGATCCCACGGAAAGGCTCAGAAATCAAGGGTGCTCGAACAAGCAGCAGGCAGGTGAAACATTAACTTTTGTTCTGCTGACAAGATTCTGCCACTGCTTCCTTATTAGTGGAAACAATAGGTGTCCAGATGTCACGCTAATGGAGGAAAGTCATTCAGCTGTTACCCCCGCAACCCATAAATCAACATCTCTGATGCGCCGGCCAATCAGACAGAAACTATTACTGGTCAGAGTTTGATGCAGCGAACCAAACATCAACTTTTCTGTGATGCAAAAAGCTTCGAGACCAAAAGTAGGCTCACATTGACTTATTTTCTCTCATTTTCCAAGAAGAATGTTCCGTTCTAAGGTGAAAAGCATTTTGTGGGAGATTTTTGACTTTTACTCTTTTTCTTAAAAAAACACATTTTAAAGACCGTTTGAAAGGGTCTGTTTGTGTCCTTTCTGCTGCTGCTGCAAGAGGCTGATGGCGAGCTTTCCGTTGGCTCAGGTCAACCTGAGCTGGACGGCACTTTTTACTCTGGCCCACTTCACATACTTGCTGATCGGAGCCACCATCTTCCAGATGCTGGAGAGAGAAGCCGAGAGCAACAACCGAAACCACTTCCAGCTGGAGAAGCTGCATTTCTTGGCCAATTACACCTGCCTGGATGGACCTGCGCTGGAGAAATTCGTTCAGGTTTTTATCCTTTTCTTTTTAACATTTAGCTTAGTCAAAACTTATTTTGAAGATGTAAAGTTGTCATGTAAGATGCCCTTATGTAGAAATTGGTAAATAAAACTATGAGATTAATAAATGTTTATTACGAAAATTATTCACTAAGTAAAAATTGTATTTAAAAAAGTAAAGTTTTTTTATTATTAGGGGTCAGTAAATTACTTAATTAAAATTATTTCACAGTTTGAATGAACATTATTTTAGGTTGATTGGTGTTATTATTTATATATCTTAACTAAGTCTAATTTATGTTCAGTGGACTTAAACTGTTATTTTGCTAAATATTCAAGTTTTATTGGTTAGGATGTTTAACATGATTTAAGTAAATCAGCTTTAGCAAATCAAAATGAATTAAGTTACTTGTGTCATGCTTTGTTGAGCAAATAGAAAAGATGTTTAACTAAAGCATTATGAATAATGTGATTAATTCTGGCAAAATATAAATTTGTTCATTCAGCTGTAACCTTTAAATGTCCGATTATGCAACTAAAGTAAGTTAGCATAAATTTAAACAAAAAAATCCAACTCAATGAACATAATCAGACGTAAAATAATTCAGTCTAAAAATAGATTTTAATGACTCATATACTTGAAGTTGAACCAAGAAAACCTATGAAGATGTACCTTTACATTTTTTGTCATTTAAGTGTTTAATGAATAATTGGATTTACAACCAAGATGGAAGAATCCTTTACAAACTTTAACTTAACTATTTAGCAATATATATATA